AATAATATTGCATAGACTCCCATCACTCCTGTATAAGCCCTGGACAATGGCCCTGGCCCCAAAGGCCGGTTGAGAACTAAGAAAGTAGGAAGTCAAGCCCGGAGGATGTTCAACCGCCTTCGTGACTAATCTTGTCACCTCCGGGGATGTCTGTCCCTCTCTCTTTCTGTGACACGATTTACTCAGTGTTCAAACTGATAGGGCCTAGATCGATCTAGATATATTTTTTCGATGGGCTTGGTGTGGATTGTGGGTTGATAACTGCAAGTTATCTCATGAAAGGTATGTCAACTTTTTTCAGTTTTCTTTCTAGTTTTAGGTCAGCATGCCCTTTTGTTGTATCATGTCGGTTGAGGAAAATGAATGGTTTGTTCTATTCAACTAGGCTAATTCAAACTCAATTTTGTGTTAACTTTCTTGTAACGAAAATTACAAAGTTCTTGTTGCTAAACGGCTGCAAGGATCCGCAAAAGGGGAGTTCGATGTTTCGCCGCAATGACTCACAACGTTTACCTGTGGAAAAGAATGATGGTCAGTGACGTAATGGCCCAGGTGGTTATCGCTTGAGGGAGAGAGTCCTGAACAGGAGAAATCCCGCGAATGGACGAAGGTTGTGATGAAAAAATACACAATTTTTTTTTTCAAAATTTTAGTTGGATTATAATGATATTGCATAGGCTCCCATCACTCCCGTAAGCCCTGACCCTAAAGGCCGGTTGAGAACTAAGAAAGTAGAAAGTTGAGAACTAAGAAAGTAGAAAGTCGAGCCCAGAGCATGTGTCAGCCGCCTTAGTGACTAATCTTGTCACCTCCGTGGATGTCTGTGCATCTCTCTTTCTGTTACACGATTTACTCAGTGTTCAAACTGATAGGGCTTTTTTTTCGATGGGCTTATTGTGGATTGATATCGGCAAGTGATCTCATGAAAGGTATGTCAACTTTCGCAGTTTTCTTTCTTGTTTTAGGTCAACATGTCCTTGTATTATATGTTGGTTAAAACAAATGATTGGTTTGTGCTATCCGACTAGGCTAATTCAAACTCAATGTTGTGTTAGCCTTCTTGTAACAAAAATTACGAAGCTATTGTTGTTAAATGAATGCAAGGATCCGGAAAATAATTATGGTCAGTAACGTAATGGCCCAGGTGGCCATCGCTCGAGGGAGAGAGTCATGAAAAGGAGAAATCCCGCGAATGGGCGAAGGCTGTGACAAGAAAATTTTATACACATGTTTCAAAACTCCAGTAGGATTATAATAATATTGCATAGGCT